AAAAGACAAAAAGAGATCAAGGCCTAATATAATTTTTCTATTTTTATTAATGTACGGAGTATTTATAACTAAATCTTCTTTTTTTATTTAATGTAATTTTTTTAATAAATTATTTCCGTTTAAATTTAATTAATTAATAAATTTTTATTAATTTCATTTTGCAAAATGTGTATTAAAAAATTAAAAAAAATATAGTTTGAAGCCTCGGGGCTTCAAATCCATTTACAGTGAAACTGTGAGGTAAGTTAAAGCTGACGTAGCAGAGATAGAAATTTTGAAGTTTCTATTTGAAGCCCCTAGACTTCATGATAACTTCAAGTGCTCTAATACTATCCTATTTCAAAATCATACTCTTAATTTATGTCTAAAAAAATTGTCACAATTTGACTTTTTTGATCAAATTGAGCAACGAGGAGTAATCCTTTTAGAACGGAGAAAGTAGCTTGTAAGCGGTTTTTAGGTGCGATTTTTAGGTGTACAAAGGAATTGCACACACTATATCTATAGAATATTATCCCTTCATTCGGAAATGAAGTGCCTACACACTTCACTATTTCTAAATTCACGATAAATTTGATTTGATTTTTTTGTTTTCATTAAATACTTGACAAATTAAAGTTAAATATACTTGTCATCTTTTATTTGTTTAATAAATTTTGATATAAATTTTAAATAATTAGCTTTTATTTTCTTTTATATTAATTTCATATGAAATGATGGCTGGATTTTTTGCCTGATTCGAGGGAATTTCAATTAAGATTGCGGACTTGAATCTAAAATTACCAGAAGGAAAAATTTCGAAAATATTCAACTTCATTGATGTTTATCTCTGGTATGTTTGGAAACATGGATTTGGATTTCAAATCCGGATTTGGCTTAAATTCCATGTTTGGGAAACTTAAGCATTTGGAATTTTGGATTTGAATCAAATTCTTTACATTCAAAACAAAGCTTAATATGAAATTCATGCACCTCTCCTTGTCATTTGAAATTCAGGATTTCAAATTTTGGAATTGAAATACATGAATTGAAATGAAATGCTAGTTGCCAAACACTACCTTATATTAATTTCATATGAAATGATGGCTGGATTTTTTGCCTGATTCGAGGGAATTTCAATTAAGATTGCGGACTTGAATCTAAAATTACCAGAAGGAAAAATTTCGAAAATATTCAACTTCATTGATGTTTATTTAAACTAATTACATCCGTTCAAAATATTCTCCTAATTAGATTTGGATTTGGATTTCAAATCTGGATTTGACTCAAATTCCATGTTTGAAAAACTTACAAATTTTGAATCTGGATTTGAATCAAATTCTTCCCATTCAAAACAAAGCTTAATTTTAAATCCATGCCCCTCTCTTTGTCATTTGAAATTCAATATTTCAAATTTTGAAATTGAAATACATGAATTGAAATGAAATTCTAGTTGCCAAACACCACCTGAATGAATTTTGATTATTAATCAACTAAAAATTGCATTTCATATTACTCCGTAGTACAATGAAATATAGTTTTTTAAAAGTTTTATGCAAAATACTGATACTCAATTTAACTTATTTTGTAGAGTAATAAATGATCAAAAATTACCAAATTGAAGGAGTCACCCAAAAGCTCAAAACTCATATAATTGTGTTCAAAGTATTTATTATCTCTATAATCTACGGTTAAAGTTCAATTTACCTAATATCAGTAATTATATCCTGTCAAGTTTGAGAGATGAGTATTTGGGGATGGAATTTTTCATATGATTGTGTTGATTACAATTGCTCTATCTAAAAACTTACAGTGAAACCCCAATCCAACCCCACTTTTACTTTAAAAGTAAAACAAAAAACTTACTGTGTTGATCCCTGTAAAACCCAAACCCATCTTTTCTTGGAATGCAAGCATAAAAAAATCTTTGAATTCTCATGAACGTAGGGAGTGGTAAGTTTCCGAATTTAAGACACAAAATTAACTCAAATTTAGCAAGTAGCGGATCTACTCCCTCGGTCAGGTAGATCTCTTCTCAGTTCTCACACTATTTATTCGGTTAAATTAGTTTCCTTTTGTTTGTTTTTGTATTCATTTCATTAAAAATATAATCATATCACCTTTTATTTTGTAGATTTTTTTCATGTATATTTTTAGTATATATTGAGTGAATTTTATTTTAAAATTTTATACCCATATCTAAACAAATTAAATTAAAAATAAAATCAATCAAAATTTGGGTAAGAGTATATGGGGACCCGAGGATGATGTTTTTAGTTCCTATCAGGTCCATATATGGGGACCCGAGCATTAGTAGTTCCTTTGGTGGTATTTTTCAGATCAAGTGTGTGAAATTATTTGAGCAACACACAAAAGTTGTTTGAAAATTATGGTATAATGTCAATTTTTACAATAATTACGGGAGACTTGGTCTGAAAAAATCTCCAAAGAGACCACGAACGCACCAGTTAAAAAGAATATAGATCAGATAAACACTAAAAATAAGTTAGGGATATGCGAAACACTTTAGGAAAAATATAATGACCTTATAAGAACTTAAAATAATTCAGAAACTTGAGAAACACTTTCGAAAAAATATACTCCGTAGGAATCTTGTAAGAACTTTACCCATTAATACATGAAAAGAACTCCAATTGCGTTTGTTTTTAGTATATTCTCCATTGTGTTATCCGTGCTTGCTCTATGATTCTATTTTAATTTGTTGCTTTCGAACTGAAGAGCGTATTGACTCTTTGAAGTTTAGGCATCTTAATTAAAGTTTCATGTTTTTGGAAAGACATTAAATTGAAGATCAAGCGCCGCACACACACAAAAAAGAAAAATATTTTAAGTGAAAAAGGGCAAAACAAATAAAAAGAATCTTTAATTTACTCTCACATGGTCCAGTTTATTTTTCAGAATGATACATATTGATTAGTAATTTTTTGACATAATTTATAATACAGTCCCATGTCTCATCAAGTAATTTTTTTGACATAAATAATACTATCTCATTTCAAAATCATACTCTCTTTGTCTTAAAAAGATCATCACAGTTTTATTTTTTAGTTAAATTGTGCAATATTTTGATCATAAATTATTGAAAAACGATATTGAGTTATAATGTAAATTTAGTAAAACTAGGTTTATTCTAAAATGTATTTTTGATATATCAATTTTTATAGACATTTAATTTTTAAAATAAAATTAACATTAGTCAAAATGTGTCGCAATTCGAATAAAAAAGTCAAAATATGACAATCTTTTTAGAACAGAAAAAGTAGATTCCAAGCGATTTTTAGGTGTACCAAAGGAATCACACACACCATCTAAATAACACACTTCATTATTTCAAAAATCACAATAAATTTGATTTATTTTTTCGTTTTCATTAAACACTTGACAAAGAACAATATACTTGTCATCTTTTATTTGTTTAATAATTTCAATATAAGTATAAAAAATTTAACTTTATTTTTTTAATATTAATTTCAAATAAAATGATGGCTGGAATTTTGAGGGAATTTCAAAAAAGAGTGCGGACTTGAGGGAATTGTTAGTGGGAATTTCAAGGAAGAATTTCCAAAATCCGAACGCTCCACCAAAATCAAGAAAGCAGATCCCATCATCCGAGCTCCAAACCTCTTCTTAACCTCCCGCTCCCGCCCTATTTAACCCTCCTCACACCCCAATTTCCAGTTTATCCCCTGCTTTAATCACTGTGATTTGTGAATTTGATTCGAGAGAGAAAATCAATGGGAAAAGGGAAGGCCAAAATCGAGATCAAGAAAATCGAGTGTCTGCAGAGAAGAAACATCTGCTTCACCAAGCGCCGCCAGGGGCTCTTCAAGAAAGCCGCCGAGCTGTGCCGCCAATGCCCGGGAACTCGCGTCGCCGCCCTCGTCTTCTCCCCCGCCGGGAAGCCCTTCATCTTCGGCGACCCCAAAGCTCTCCTCGGATCTGAACAGGAAGAAGAAAAGGGTTTGGATGGGAATCAGTTCGCTGGTTTGGGCGATTTGGACGCCGTCAACGTTAACGAGTTACCGGCCGGTCCAGATAGAAAAAAACGAAATCGGTCAGATTGGGAGTCTTCTCATTTGGACGAGTCTGATTCAGAGGACTACATGAATGATTCCTACATCTTCGGCGATCCCAGTTGTCTTCATGGAGCCGGACAAAAGGCAAGTTTTCTGGATGGGAATCAGATGGCTGATTTGGGCAATCTGGAGGCGGTCATGAACACAAACAAGTTACCCGGTCCAAATGGGTCGGATTGGGACTCTTCTCAGTTGGTTGATCTGGACGAGTCTGATTCGGACTACATGAACAAGCCATCGACCAATGAGTGGGATTTGAGCGAGCTAGCATCACACTACATGATCCAGTCCGAAGAAAAGTGTTCGGATCCCGCAAATGCGGATCACCTTGTGGATATGGGCGAGCTGGAATCAATGTTGATGGACAACTACTTTGGCAATCACTTTCTCGGGGATGTCGAGACCTACGCGAATCAATTGCTTGAACTTTGAGTTCGGGTATCGGGCGATTCAAACAACGTCCAGTTCCTTAATTTTTTTACATGCCGAGTTCTTCGTAGCCACGTAATTCTTCCTTTAATTCATTTTTTTAAATTTTAAATTCTAGATCCTAGCTAGTTTTCATCATTGGATGAAGAGAGACTGAGAATGTGCTAAGCTTCTGATTTGGGAATATTATATGTTAGCTATGATGAAGAGATTATATGTATATGTTATCTTTAAATGAATGAATGAATGGATGAAAAGAACCTTACTGTCTTGCTCCAAATTTTGGTTTTCCTCTTTGTTTTCTTCTGCAGCACTTACATGAATGGCTACACACTTTTCATGCAAATTACAGAATTGAATGTGTTACAATGAGAAAATAAAACTCATAAGGTTAAGCTACACACTTTTCATGCAAATTAGAGTACAAATTAAAAGAAACAAAAAAGAAAAAGGAAGAAGAAGAAGAAGAAGCCAAAAAGCAAGAACTAAGAACCAATTCATCCTAACCACTCTTCTTTAAATTCACATTTGAAACTCAGCAGACTTGTTATTGCCATATATGCCCTCCTTTAGCTCTTTATCATCATCATCATCACTTACAGGTGAAGTGAAACTCGATCTGAAGCCGGTGATGAAGGGGAGTCGACGACTTCACCAGACCCTTCTTCACGTCCGCTTCCAGTTCCCGAATCGGAATGGCAGCCAGAAACTTCTTTATGTAATCTCTGCAACTCTCTTTCCCTTCACACAAAACACTCTCTTCCTCTTCTTCTTGTTCTTTGTCACTGCAGATTCTTGTGTCCTTGTCAAACCTCAGCACATAGGCCTCATTACACCCCTCATACAGCCTCTCCCCTAATGTGTCAATTATGTAGTAAGCTTCCGGTTCCACTTTCAGCACGAAAAAATGGTCGTTCCAGCTGACGATATACACCCGAAGGTGGTGACTGGTAGTGACGTCAGCGCGACTAATCTCGTCCCAGACGTCGTCGAACGACATGGCCCCGCGCAAGAACTCGAAACTCCCGTCATCCGGGTAATTGTCCGGATGGAAGAACCCGACGAACGAGTTCTCGGGTAGAACGGATAACGGGCGGATCTTGGCCCGTAGGACCGTGTCGAGGTCGAAGTGCCCGTCGGGAAACGCCTCCCGGCACGTCTCGTCCCGGCAGAGGGCCCTCCACGCGGACGACCCCTCCCGAATCAGGGCGTCGAACTGGGACTTGATTGGGCCCGCGAGGTCCCGGTTGCACTGTAGCCAGTCGGCGACCACGGCGACCAGCGCCGTGCACGCGCTCTCTCTGGCGGCCCGCTCGCTCCGCTGGTCGATCGAAGCGAAGAAAACATGCGCTTGGAGTCTCATGCTCCCGTCTCGGCTCGCTATTTCTCTCCTCTCCCAAGAGCCCACACAAAAACCGTCCTCCCCAAAGTCCGATACGGACGATCGGTTTGCGACGGATTCTTCCTCACCCTTGTGGCACTACACAAGAGAAGACAAAGAATCAACACTTTTGAATCAAAGAAACTCTATAACAAAGCTTGTGACCATCTAACATGAACTCAACATATATATGAAGCAAAGGCTATTATGGACCCACACCTCAAAAGAAACAGATTCGTCGGAGCTGAGCTGGCGACGGTCAAAGTCAATGTCATCTCCACCTTCTTCCCCATAATCCTTCTTCAGTAATGGCTCTCCCTTAGAGCTCAGTTTCCTCTTCCTCCAAGGCAAGATACTACCGCGCTTTGAACTCTGATATGTCACCCCCTCTGGAACTGACCTAACCCGTTGATCATCCGTCTGTGGGCCCACATCTGATCTCCGGTTGCTATAGTAAACAAAGTCCTCGTCCTCCTCCACACTAACCCTTCTGTTCGAATGAAGCGACACTCCCATGTGATTAACATCAGCCAATGTGCCATAACTAAATGATTTCCTAAGCTCAAAATCCTCCTCGCTGCCCTCAAGCTCATCCAGTGACTCAGAGTCAAAAGGGTATTCTCGGCATGCTTTCTTGGCTTTCCTCGTCGACACGTACTCTGATAATATTTTCACATTTCGCAGACCGGATTTTAATGCAGAAAGCTCGGTCTTGTCTGTTGATGAACTTTCAATTGGCTCCTGGGGAGATCCTAGCTCCAATAGGCTGAGAGATATCTGTAAGAAGAAACAATCAATTGTGTGCCAAGAAGAAACAAAATCGTTATCAAGAAAAGGTACGTACGGAGAGGTGAGGGCAGGACTCGGGTGAACACCCCAGAACAACTAGAGGGACATTTATGTCAAATTCTTTCTCATCTGTCTTGGCAGCGAATTCGGCAAGGTTCACACTTGTTGTTCCAAAAGTGGGAGCCTTATTCCTAGTCCCTTGACACCTCTGGAATGTTACAGCGGATCGAATTATGACAATGGCAAGTAATCATCAACTACGGAGTATATACTAACATAGATTCACAATCAATTACTTACCATATAAAATATGTTCACAGATCAGCATAAATAATGTGTATCACATCCACACTTATGTGATGAAAACAAATCTTTTATCGACACACGACTGTGCAACTTTAGGCATTCATTGTGAAGATTAAAAAATAAGTACGGTTTGTAATCAGCAGAAAACAGACAAATATCACGTTATGAACTCTACTGGTAGTAGATTCGGACAATTTACACTACGTTCCAAAACATTGCAGTCTCCTGGAATCGTATCGCATGAACCTACATCTAAAGTCCAAGAATATTATTGCCATTTTCCACACAAAACACAAAGATTACACAAAGTAAGTTTTACCCCCATTGACCCATTCTATTATTGGGATCAGATCAAGAGATTCTCAAGGAACCCATCGCCAAAGAGGAAAGCAGATATAAAAATGAATCAGATAAGGTAAACATTATATGGAGTATAGCATCAAATGGAATCTGAAAGCATAAATAATTAAGAGCAGACTAAATTTAACAGGAAATCCCATCAAAATAGCAGCAATAAAATGGTAAAATTGAAATCAGGAATCATATTTCCAATTCAGTTCCTTATCCAGAACCAGTGCCCTAAGCTCCACCATATCTGGAAACAAATCACTGCTAAAAATTGGGGGAAATTGATCACAAAAGCCATATAAAAACAAGAAAATTAGATGACCAAAGCCTAGGGATTCAAAGAAAGTCCACTCACATTCAACAAGACAGTGAAGCTGATCTCCCATGGATGAAACAGATTGTCCCGGCTGCTGGAGAGACTACACTCGCTCTGAAACTCTTCATCCCACTCAACAAAAACGGCGCCGTCCTGGCCATTCTTGAACCGCTCTTCTCTGGTGCAGTTCCTCTTCACCGTCTTCCCGAACGAGCTCAGCGCAATCCGGGGAGGCCCTTTCCACCTGATCTCTACCGAAGCCCCACCACACCCACCTGTGCCCTCCTGCACCAAATCTGCTTCCCCGGGGCTCTCAAGCTTCCGCACAACTAGCTTCACCTCGAATCTCTTCGAAGCTAGCGGTGGCCATGGCCGCCACCTAATCATCTTTACTCCCATTTCCGGCTTTTAGAGGAGCGAGAACCCCAGATTTCAAGAAAGCTAAAGACTTGATCTTTATGGGTGAAAGGGGAAACTGGGGAAATTTATTGGGAGCAAATGAGATTATGGGCAATGGGTTAGGACGAAAAACAGGATATGCCCAATGTTCTAATGTAGATTTAAGAAAGAAACGCCTCTTCTTCCTTCCAGAGAGAGAAAGAGAGAGATTTTAATGCCCGTTAGAAAAAGTTTAGCACTTTGGAGAAGAGTTTGGCCATGTGCACATACTGATATATACAAATAAAAAAATACTGTAAAATCCAAACGCGTGTACAGGGAGAGGTTCGTTCCAACCTTGAGTCGTCTAGGACCGGGCGATGTAAGATTCTTACCGGAAGAACATGTCATCCATCTACTTGGGCATGCTTGATTTGTGAATGAGCATAAAACATCATCACGTATTCACTTCTTTTTTTGAGCAGAAGTATTCAACATTTCAATCATTCACGTCCATTCTATCTTTGCCCACAAAAAAATCATTTTCACATTGCAAAAAGAGTCAATGGCATCACAAAAGTTTGAACATTTGACTTCTTATTTAGAAGGTGTTTGAGAGTGATTAATTTATGGATAAAGTAATTTTTACAAAAACTGAAAGCAAAAGCGACTCATGGCTTCTTCAAAATGGTGTTCTATGTACAAAATAATGATGAAGAAAAGTAAAAGTTGACTACCAAATAAAATAAAACCACTTCCACTCAAAGCAGAAATTAAATCTTAAAAGTTATTATGATGTTATTGATTACGAATTTTTTGACATTTTTAATTTTACAGAAATTATGAAAAATATTACTCCATTCGTCTCGCAAAAACATTTCACGTTGAAAGTGGTGTAGAGAAAAAGAAATAATATGACCCGTGACATTTTTCGTAGAAGCGAAATCTTTTTTAGATGAATGGAAAAAATGTTATAGAATGCCTATGAGGGACGAAGAGAGAAAAGTTAAAAGTGACAATAAGAATTTCTTTAAAAGAAAAAAAATAAAATTGGTCTTTCCAACTATGTATATGTATCTTTCTTCAACAAGAAGTTTCAGTGTTGATAAAATTTAGAATATGGTATGGGTTATACGATTAGGCCATAACACACTTAAGTTGAACTACATTAAAAAATTGAATCCAATCGATTACTTAGTTCAATTCAAATGCTTATATACCGGTTACTTTCTTCTCGCTTTTTCGATATTGGGTACTCTTTAACACTCACTTCAAGTGGTCAATCGGATCATTTTGAATCTAACCGGTTGACTACTTTGCAAATGAACTCGCATCCCTTGATTTTTTTAGCGCCAACACCTTAAGGGTCACGAGACACTATGTATGGGTTTCCAGACATCTGACCGGGTGACTACTTTGTAAATGAACTCTCATCCCTTGATTTTTTTGAGCGCAACACCTTTAGGCCACGAGATGCAAGCCGTTGGATTTACATTGGCCCACAATGTAGTCCACTGGCCCATAAAAGTAGAGTTTGAAAAAGGTGTGGGAGTTTGTTTCTAAAAGAATCTTAACTCAAACGTATAGTTGGAAATATATAGCTTGTTTCTGTGAGACACCTAACTCAAACCGAATGGAAAGCACATAACATCATAAAAAAGAATAAATACTTCCACTATCCCGTAAACATTTCATGCTTTGATTTTTAGGAGCATAAGATGTAAAAGTTTGACCAAGATAAAATGACGACAATTGAAATAAGTAGGGTTTGGAAATATCAAAAGAGTAAGACGTAGAAGGTAATTGTGATATGCTCAGTTAGATTTAAAAAAAGCAATAACAATTGTGTTAATCTAGACCAAATTAAATGTTTTATGAAATTTTTAAGATGAGAAGATTGAAAAATTTTGCAAGACGAAGGAGACAATAGACACACAAAGAGCACTAGCAAAACAACCACAAGCCTAAAAAAATACTATCCCTACATAATTACATTCTTCTAAATCTTCACAGGCTAGGCCCACCCTCCCCCCACCCACTCATAATCGTAAGCCTCTTGCATATTCATACCATGACGACTTCAATGATGCTTCACATGAGCAAATCACTCAACTTAGCACTCGCAAAGCTTATCATGCATAAATTCCATTCACACCCATCCCCAAATAACCTCATTCCAAATCATATCCAACCTTGTTTGCCTACACATCCGCCATCGTAGCCACATGCAATTGATGAATCCGAGCCTTTTTAATAGCCCAACACTACGCTACATAAAGTGGAACTGATTTTCCAACCATTTACCGAATTACTAAGCCAAACCAAACCGAAAACCGAATTTTAGCAAAATGAAAAATCGAATACCGAATCAAATTATTCGATTTGATTTCAGTACGTACCGAATTTTCAGTTTCGGTACGGTTTGGTCGGGTTACCGAATTGTGCACACCTTTGTGGTCTACCTTGCCAGGCCTATGTTGTCTTACAATGGAGTGCGGTAAAAAACAAATTAAAAAAGAAAAATGCGTGGTCCGTAAATGGTTGGATGGTCAAAGAACAGGTGAACTTTTTCTACAGAGTACCAAAGTTCATTTCTCCTGTGTTTCTAGATGAGTCGTGGCTTGAGACGACTGAGCCGCTCAGCCCTAACATTCGCCACCTCTCTCTCCGCCAGCATCAGAATCAAATCCGCCATTCTCTTACCTTTCCTCCGCCGATTCCTCTGCAAAACCCTAGATTTCCTCACGCCTGTCATGGATTCTTGGCTCTTTTCCTCCCCAGAGGACGATGCCTTTGGTCTCGATTTGTCATTTCCTCGCTTCTCCCGCCAGCTATCCCACCTCGACCCGGAATCCCTTTTCCTTGTTCCCTTCAGGTTTTTCCACTTTCTGTATCCTGCGTTAATAGTGCCATTGGTGTGTGTGTGTGTGTGTCTTATTCCCTGGGGCTGGTTAGCTGAGTTTATCGATGTTTGATTAGGGTAATAGGATCGAAATGGACAAGGGATTGCTATCTAGGGTTCTGATTACTGTAGTAATGTTTAGTTAAGTTCATCGTAGTGTGAAAGTGGAAATGCGAGTGATATGCATTTATAGTTTGCGTGTTTTCTTTTTTTTGGCTTGATAGGCAATGCGATGGTTAGTTACTTCTGACTTTCCTTTATTTTGGGGGTACGGTTATTTGATAGGGTAAGACCGGTAAGTATAAGAGCAAGGCCTTAAGTTTTCATTTTGCCTCAAACTTTCATGTTTTGTTTTACAGGTGGTGGAGCCAGGCTAAGGAGGGATTGTGTAGTAGCGGTGAAGTGAGTGAGAGTGATATTAATGGTATTCAGTACATGGCAACAGCTTTCTTGAATCACACAGATTGTTACTCCAGTGAATCCAGTACTGAAACAGAGATTCTCTTGGATATGGAGAGAGAGGGTGTGACTGAGGACATGGAGGAAGGTGTTTCAGGTAGGGAGTTAGCCTTGGTGTCAGAATGGATGTTCTTGAGAGCTATGAAATGGTAAGAATGGATTTAACTGAATTTGGCTCATAATAGTTTATATGACGAGTTTCTGTACCTTTTGTTATAAGAATTGAATTTGTGATATGTTCATGCTGTTGAAATCCAATTATTGAAGATCAACTAGACGAATAAAGAGGAGGTAGAACTGATAAAGAATTATAGAGGGTTGATTGGTTCATTTATTTGAGTTGTGGAACTGACAACTTACGATAATAGCGTGAGGAGATCAAATGATCAATGCAAAGAAAATGAGGAAATCTTTAAAAATGGGGGGGGGGGAGTGAAACTATAGCTACTATTGATAAAATAGTTCATGCCTTCATGGCTTCATGCTATGTGTTGAAGTTACCACCATTTCCACCAATTGATAAAATAGTTCGCATGTGATCTTTCCACCATTGGAATTATCCTTTATGGTTACTGAAAAATTATCAATGAATCTGTACAATGAGTAAATGACTAACTATGCTAATGATTCAAATCAAAGCATAAGTAAGTTAGGTTTCCTTCTATGTTGTAAGATATGCTCTCAGTTTTGCAGGAATCTGCAATATTCTTGGACTATCTTCCGGAGTCAGTGATTGGAGATTTGGTGGGACTAGAATAGTAGAATATCCCTGACCTTCATTTATTTTCATCTTCCTTGTAGGCATTATGATATGAAGGAAGCTGGAGGTTTTCTAGCCCCAGATGATACCATGCACGACTTATTCTCTTTATATGTCCGACTGTATATTTCCCAAACAAATTCTTTGGCTATAAGAATTAGCCTAAAGGTTCACTCATAAATTCATTCCACACATTTTCTCAATTTCTAATCCTCAAACTCTTTGCTCTGGTTATCTGAATCTTGACAGATGCATAATTGGAATATGCCATGCAAGAGACTAATTGTATATTGCTATAAATGTACTTAATGTGTTGTAGTTTTACTTATTATTATTACTCCCTCCATCCCAAACAACAACAAAGCCCATTAGAGCACGAGGAGGGTTTGTGTGCACAGAGTCTACCCCTTCATATATGACTTTTCATGGTCACTTAATGCAATATTTTACCTTTAATAACTAAAAATAGATACATAAATATTATAAGATTTTGACATTTCAATACTACGTAGTATACATGATATTTATATTTATATTTGACTTTTCATGGTCATTAATGCACCACTATGATTGTTAATAACTATATTTATACATAAATAAATATTATAAAATTTGATATTTCAATACTACATTTCAAAATAAATCCAATGATATTAAATTTACATTTATAATTAAATTCATTTTTACACAGTTCGTAATAAATGTTTGTGAGTTTGAAAAGAAAAGGCAAACATTCAGATCATTTTAGGATGTTGGTAGTAATAAAATACAAGGTGAAAGTGGCTACTTCCTTGCGGATGTTTTTGAAAAGTTATGCACCTTAAGGGTTTCCACATGGATTAAGAAAGCATTATATTCTTCCAAAATCAAGATTATCCTCCATTAATGTCTCATAGATGTATAGCGTACTACAATGTATCAGGATATGAATGGCAATTGTCAAAAGTAGATTATGAATGCTATATTGCCATTGTGACGTGACAGTTTTGCAAAAACACTATGGTTTTTAAAGTGGCAATTAGTTTGAGACGGATGGAATACTAAGTCAGATTTATTTTGAATTCTAGCATTTTGTTTAGAGAAAATTGGACTCCTATGTATTAAATAAAATAAGTTTTGGGGCTTCAAAGCAGGTGAAATCAATTAAAAATTATCTCTGGATAACATATAGTGACAACATGTAAGGAAGTTCTTGTTGGAGTTGGAGATCGTGCCTAGTGTTAAACCATGGTGTGCTTGTGCTCAGCGTTGTCAAATGGCAGGCATTGTGGCATCTCGGAAGATGGTTGTGGTGGTACCATGGATGGACTTGTCATTGAGTGGTTCTATCATGGACCTAAGGTGCATCATGAACCTTCCCATATAAGAAAATTAATAAATTGAGAAAAAATGGATATCCTAATAATAATAATAATTTATAGCTTATATGAGAAGGTCCATGTTTCTTATCCTATATGGATCTAGGTCCATATAAGAATTTACCTTGTGTCACTAAGTCTAGTTTAATCCTTGGCTTGCTTGGTACTTCTTACGCTGCTCTTATTTCTTGATCTGTATTTACCCTAAAGACCAATTTACCACAAAAAACCTTGATATTAGGGATATCCGATGCCACCTGCATATGTAAACAAGGAAAGATTTCATATAGTTTCTTGTTTTTATAATTCCAAAAACTTTATTCAAGGGTCTTTGATCTACTTGTTTTATTCGTGATACCACTTTTTGATGAGCTAAACTTTTAGCTTAAGTGCTTAACATAGTATAAAAATGTGTGTTCACATGATATCCTTGTTTCTGAAAAGATTCCATGTTTCACTACATTGTCATTGTTTCATAGCCTTCTAATGCCTATTTTCAATTATTAGCATCATTTTTTTTTAGTCCACATCATCTTCATGGGGAAAGTTACTTATCTCCTTGAAGTTCTTTATGCTCTAACTTCAGTCCCTGACTGGTACCACATGTTGCGTCGACCGAAAACCAATGTGCTATGACTGCTTTCCCATACTTTTCTCAATTCATTTATTTGCTGCATCTACTAAAAACAATCTTACTCATTGGGGTAGCAGTATGTTTTGCACTTTTGCGTACTTCTTAAGTTCTTACCTGGAATCCTACTTTCGAGTTAGCTATACTGGGATTACTGGGTATGTTTTACACTTTTGCGTACTTCTTAAGTTCTTACCCGGAAGGCCGGAATCCTACTTTTGAGTTAGCAATGCTGGGATTACTGGGTATGTTTGGCGTGGTTTGGTAATACTGCACTTGCTGCATTAATGCCTTTTTTATTTACTAACAATGGAAACACATCCTAAATTTGAAGCTCTTTATAGATCATAGATATCTGACTTTGGTTTTTTTAAATTGTGTTTTTGTTCTGAAGGACAACGAAGCTCGAGTGTTCGAAAGAGCCTGCAGTATATTCTGTGTCACATCAAGATCGGTAAGGTGCATGATATGATTATAATGTCATTTCAGTAGTTGTCTTATATATAATTTGCTGGTTTCTACTTCTGGCAGTTAAGCATCTGGGATTATTCTGGACAAACTAGCCAATTTGTGTTGAACAGTAAGAAGTTATTGAATGGTTTAGGCGGTCCTAATGAAGAGGTAATCTTGTTATCTAGGAGATGCAGTAATCTGTGACATATTTATAATGTTTATAGTATTGATAATAACATTGATTTTAAGATTCAATGATTATTAGGCTCTTAAGCTGGACCTTTTCATTTTATTCAATTTTTGTGATAACACCCAAAGATCATCACTAATTAGTATCTTAAATAGTTATATCTCCAACATATGTCCCTAGTTGAATTGCATAGGTTTAGGAAAGTGCGTTTGTCAATCTTTTGAAAAAAATTGAATGACTTTAATATCATTAACATGTCTCAAGGGATATGCTTGTCTTTTTGAGATTCCTACAGATTCTTCTGGAGTTAAAGGTGTATGGATTGCCATGTAGTAATCAGAGGACCGGAAGGAGAGAAGAGGAAATGATGCCTAAATGCTGTAGTTCATTGAAGAGTAGTATTGATGCTCCTGATGCTGATGTGTCATGTTGTGGATTAGATAGCAACATGAATAGTGCTTTTGTTCTGGGCCTAACCGGATTGGGTAACCTCGGAAACACATGTTTCATGAATAGTGCTCTTCAGTGTCTAGTGCACACTCCAAAGCTTGTTGACTACTTCCTTGGAGACTTCAAGAAAGATCTGAATTTTGAAAATCCTTTGGGCATGAGTGTGCGTAAAACATTATTGCTTTGTATATTTAAAGCACATAGACACCATAAATGTTTTGTCTTTGCAATTTTCAAATTTTACTGGTGTATTCAGAGAGGGCTCAATAAGAAACTGTTAGTAGTCATGTCTTTGTATAATATCATAGCTTATACTCTTTCCACCCCAAAATAAATTTCATGGTTTTACCTCAAGAGTGTAAGAATAATGTTGAAAAGTGTATGGTTAGAATTTGTTTGAAGAAAGAAAAATGACGTGGGTCACACATTCCTTTCTTTAAAAGTAAATAAAGAATGTGTGAAGTTTATTTTGGGGCAAACAAAAGAAGAAAGTGTAAAGTTTATATGGGGATGGAGGGAGTCTATATCTGACATTGGTCTTCTTGACCAGGGGAAGCTTGCTTTAGCATTTGGCGACTTGGTAAGAAAACTATGGGCTCCAGGAGCAAGAACTGTTTACCCTGAGATATTCAAGTCAACAATTGCTAGTTTTGCTCCTCAATTTAGTGGCTATAATCAACACGACTCCCAAGTTAGTGAAGTTATTTTGAATCTATGGAACTTTTTGCATTTTATTTCCAAAAAGAACAATATAGGTACTATGTGCTTCATGTGCACTTTATAGGAATTCCTCTCCTTTCTGTTGGATGGACTCCATGAAGATATCAATCGGGTGAAACACAAACCATACATAGAAGCTAAGGAAGAAAATGGTCGTCCAGATCAAGAAGTGGCTGATGAACACTGGCAGAATCATCTATCACGCAATGATTCCATCATTATTAATCTATGGCAAGTGAGTCATATTTTTATTTTGTGAGGGAGATAATTTTCTCTTTAATCTTCCAAATCTTATTATCTTTTGATAACAGGGCCAGTATCGGTCGAAGTTGGTCTGTCCTGAGTGTATGAAATCATCTGTTACATTTGATCCATTCATGTACTTATCATTGCCTCTCCCATCAACAACAACGCGCACGATGAATCTGACAGTGTTAAGCGGTAATGGGACATCATTGCCGTTTCATGTCACAGTCACTGTGCCAAAAGATGGATGTTTTAAGGATCTTTTTCAGGCCTTGATCTCTGGATGCTCTTTGAGCGATGAAGAGACCTTTCTTGTGGCTGAGGTATGCTTAATTTAAATGAAGTTGCCCCTTCAGAACAAATTTTAGGGATTCACAAGAAAACATCATAACTGATAGAAAGTACAAGTAACCCCATGGATTGATCGTGTTAGTGCTAGTCAAGATGAAGCATGTTTAACCTGTCATGAATGAATTTGTATTATATTTTTTTTGGGGGGGGGGGGGGGGGGGGGGGGGNTTGATCGTGTTAGTGCTAGTCAAGATGAAGCATGTTTAACCGGTCATGAATGAATTTGTATTATAATTTTTTTGGGGGGGCGGGGAACATGGGTCATGAGGCAGAATTGAAGATGCATTTGGCACTTTCTCTAGAAAGTGATTAAATTGGATTGAATTCACTACGTGAAGAATCCGTTTTGTTGTACATCCTCAACAATTTTTTGCAGGGATTTCTCATTATCTCAATCAATTTTCATTCACTTGTTCTGGAAAACAAAGGGATTTTAAGCTAATGTTGACCACATTTTACCCATGCTTAATGTGTTTATTATAATGGAAAGTAAATGGATGGACATTTGTTTACTTTAATGGGAAAATTAGCACTTCTCATCAAAACTAACACTCCGATGTAACCACTACTCTGGATATATATTAATAATTTTACTAAGATTACTGACATTGCTAGATGTTTCTTAAATTATGCTAGGTTTGGCAGACGTCAGAATTTGTTTTTAACAGACATCAGAATTTGTTTTTTTCCTTCTCACGTTCATTGTTCAGCATTCTCACCTTTGCTTTAAACCTTCCGATTTACCTACAGATATATGGAAGTTCAATTCTTCGCTTTCTAGATGCTCCTAATGATTCATTAGATCTAGTAAGAGACGATGACACCCTTGTTGCCTATCGATTACCGAAAGACGACGAATCTCGTTTAGTTGTCTTCAAGCATCAACGAGAAGAAAAGTAAGAGTTAATGACTAGCTATTGTTAACACTGTTTCTCTGACTTCAAATCATATCTTTTTTCCTCAATATATGTGGAAATTATTATTTTTAGATCCTTTTGATTTGTTTGTATTTTTATTTCATGCTAGATCAATCATGCATGGCTTTCCAAAGAAATTTGGCACTCCTCTTGTCACAAGGATATCTGATTTTTCCAGTGGATCAGGGATTTGCCAAGCGTACCTAAGGCTGCTAATCCCCTTTTTAGTTCAACATGAAGATTCATCAAGTGATTATGATGATGCATTAAATGGCGCTAATGATGATTCTGAAATGATAAATGCAATGTCCAATGTAGATTCTCATGTGAATAATTTCAAAGATGAATCATCATTGACTGGCAACTTCCAGTTTTTCTTGGAATCTAAGAGCATTCTATGTAATGACTTCAAGATATCAATGTATGAACCTGTTCTAATCTCAAAGTCACGTGAGCCTGTGATTGTGCTTGTTACATGGCCTGAGAAAATGGTTAAATCCTATGATGTCTCCCATCTCAGTATCTTGCCAGAAGTATGTAATCCTGCATTGGATGGACGAAAGCCACAAGAGTCTATTTCGCTATATAAATGTCTGGATGCCTTCTTAAAGGAGGAACCTCTTGGACCTGACGACATGTGGTTTGTTTCTTTACCAAGTCTATTTCTAAATTCCATCAACCCACTCACATTGTATGTTTTTTCTTAACAAATAGATGCATTTCAAAAAAAATCTTTGTCGGGATTAGATTGTAGATCCTTGAAATATTTCATATATTTGCTTTGATTATATATATACTATCCTTCTTGTCATTCATGCTGTTATGTTATGACTGTAGTACTACATTCCTGGCTGTTGTTTCTCCTCTTAAAATTAAGTTTTTTTTTGGAGCATGAACAAATACATTATATCAATTGATAGGTATTGTCCGAATTGCAAAAAACATCAGCAAGCCAGCAAAAAGCTCGACCTTTGGAGACTTCCTGAAATTCTGGTCATTCACTTAAAGAGGTTTTCGTTCACCCGTTTTATAAAAAACAAGCTGGATCTATTCGTGGATTTTCCTATTGATGACTTTGACCTTTCAAGTTATATTCTTAACGAGAGTGGTGATGTCTCCCACCATTACAAGTTGTATGCAGTAAGTAATCACTATGGTGGAATGGGCTATGGTCATTATACTGCATATGTCCATGTAAGTGCCTTCGTTGAAAATCTCCAATTTCATGAATTAATGCTATTGAACCATATCGAATGACTTTTATCCCCCAGTTTTATTCTCATGATTGTTCTGTTTTATGTATTGGCTGCATTGCTGTAATTCCTAAGAATGACATCATATTTTGTTAGTGGTACTATATAAATATGAAAACACCCTCGGTTCCCCAAAGAACTTCCCATTTACTTATTCACAGAGTTTAAGAAAATGTGAATTTGTGTGGTTGAGATTTATGCCGAGAGAAATAGTTTAGTCCATACAACTCTTTCCTTAAAGGAAGTGAGAGCTTATTTTATGAAGTCCAAAAAGGAAGTGTGAAGCTCTCTCGAGACAGAGGGAGTATGTAGGATTCCTTGATTTTTAAAAGTTGCATCTCTCCAAAATGAAAAGTTGCACCTTGACTAAACCCTTTTGTTTAATGTGCGGTAATTAAAGAAATGGTACTTAACATATTTAAATTAGTACAAATGTGCTCTTGTTAGATATCTTTATTGTACATATACCAATAACACTTCAATAAAATGCCCCCTTTTTTGTTGCAGCATGGGCGTAATGGGTGGTATGAGTTTGATGACTCTCATGTCTCCACTGTCAATGGCGGTAATATGGTAAAAACACCAGCTGCCTACGTTCTCTTTTACCGGAGGGTTTCGGACATGCAGTGTGTGCAGAGCAATTCAAAAGGGCAGAAAAACACGTTTATGCAAGACACCGAGGGGCCCGTTCTAACTTGTTGAAAAAAGTTGCTAAGTCTTTAGGTATTTCTGGTACATACCCACCTGTCCATTATATGGTGTTTTCTCACAATGCTAAACTGGAATAGTTTACATTAGATTAGGTCAGAACACTTGTTATGATGGTATACAGGGGTGGCTTTGCTTTTTGGAAGAGTAGAGTACATATCAACACAGTTTTTTAGAAAAATGACTGGGAATTGTATATACATTCTCTGGACCAGCTGAGAATGTATATTCTTGGTTGAGTTTTGGATCCCACCCTTTATGATCTACTTTTCGATCATGCACTCAACTAACTCAAGTGTGAATGCTCATATTTCTATTGCTATATTTTCTTGTCTGTTGATAATGAATTTGATCTGATCCATTCCTTTGTAATTATATCTGTTGATCGCATTTTCGTGTGGAATCCATTCATATGTATTATGCTCATATGCTTAGTAGTTAGTACAACAGAACAGAGAAGATTTTTAAGTTTTTTTTTTCTGAAGTTTATTTATTTATAAATAAATATTACTGAGTATAAAATACTGTGTATAACATTAGTCAAAATATACACAGTATTTATCACTGTCGGTTAAAAACAATACAGTCAATCATCAAAAGAGAGGTGAAGTCACAGAACATATTTGAAGGATGGAGATGATCTTTGGTTGTTGTGATTGTTTCCAACTCGGATGACCACACTCCCTTCCAATGTACCGTGCAACCTTTTGAGTTTGGAGTCAATTTTGGGTTCAATTCAAATGCATCCCGCAAAGTTTGCAAGGTCAACTAAAATATATTGGGGGATGCAATTAAAGGGGGTGTGGGTTGGTTTGGGTCAAGCCAGAGTGAGAAAGTTTACAGGGGATTATAGGGCAAGAGCATTCAATTTTTTGTAACGTGCACGGTGTGGTCTCCAATTTCGGCCTATGTCATCTGATGACATGATGACATGAATTTCCAACAATTTCGGCCTATGTCATCTGATGACATGAATTTCCAAAGTCAAGAAACCCCACCATATTTACTGTGGAAAATGGACAACTTAGCTTATCAAAAGGTTGTTTCTACTTTATCAGTGAATTAATTCAATTGAATATTTAAATTTTTTCACAAATCGAAGTTAAAATTTATAAATTTGACCAAAAAAAGTCAAATATGAAGAATATTTTCGAACAGACGCAGTATGTGAGTTGTTCAATTTTCAATCTCTCATTTCCTAGTCTACATTCAAAAAGGTGAACATTATAATTGTTTCAAATCAACTGTATGCATGGTTCATATTCTCTTTCTTTTGTAACTAAATAATCCCTTTGTGTCAAAGATCTTAACTCATATGACAATATATAAAAATCTCATATTTTTTAAAATTATTTTATATACAAATTATATGATATAAAAAGTACTCCGTACAGATTAGATATTTCAAAACTCCACCAAAAGTTTTATAAAAGATACGTGACAAGATTTTTTATTTATATTTAAATGCTGAAAACACCAAATAAACAAAAAATTGTTGTGAAACCAAAATAGTATCCCTCCATTTTTAAAAAATATTCATTATTTCCTTTTTAGGACGTCCCCAAAAGATTTCGTTTTCTTTTTAGAAAATTTTGAGTGTCTTCCGATCTTTTTTCTCTACTTTGCAACACTTCCAACACCACTTTCTTATTTTTCTTAAAATTTATCCCAAGTCAAATCGAGAGTATTTTTTATGGATGACGAAAATGGTATCGTACAAAATATTTTTTAAGGACGAAGGAAATATTAATAAGACAAGTTTAATTTTTAATTTGAAAACACAAATAAAAGTGCATAATTGGTCCGTAAGAGAGAAGAAGTAATTTAAACTTAAACTAATGTCTTTATCACTGGATACGGCTTGTATTATTTCCGCTTATTTGGATCCAATTATACGACCAAAAAAAAATATTGGATCCAATTAATGTGGATAATAGTTCAGTTCCAAGACAACTAATGAAAAGGAATCCAATGTGCTGCAAGTATAGACAATGCCAAATGAATCAAATGATTGATAAATTAAGAATCCCATTTGCACAAACATCACATCCCCACAACAAAAGCCATTCCAAATTAGCACGTGCTTCAAGCCATGCCAATGGCTTCTGGGTTGTCTTAAGAAAAAGAAAAAAAAATGTAAAACATGTTAGAGTATATAAAAAGCATTCTTAGACCCTTGTTGATGATTTGGTTCCGTGATATATCAGACCCTTGTTGACTAAAAGATCATGGGTTTCGAAACTCACGACTATCCAGTTTTGAAAAAGTTAAGATTTCACGTACAAGATTTTCAAAGAAGTCTCGCCTGCACGCGAGGTGACGTATCAGAGGGATCATTCTTAGACCATAACCACAAGCATCCTAATACTTCAGACTTCCTTTTCAAGACCATCTAAGCTATGCAAGCAGGCGGCTTTCAAGTTTTCTATATTTGTGCTTCTTTGGTAAGCACTTAGGACTTGTTTAGTGTGTAAAACAGTATTATAATTTTTTTTTGGAGAGAGACAAATCCTTGCTCCGATACTATGATATAATGAATATTTTATCTCTATTTACACGGATTACAAGAGAGTCATAATCATAGTGGATAAAAACTATAGAAACAATAGAATAAAGAAACCAATTAATAACAATATTTGTTTCTAATTATTATTCATAATAATAATAATAACACATTCTTTTGACCTAAAAAAAGATCTGAGAATGACCCGGTCACCTACGATACTTTGTTGTTATAATTGATGGTTCGTTCCTTTCCTAAACACTGTCCGGATACTAGTGGACCAAATTGATCATTTGTAATTTTTAAGGAGAATTGAAAAGAAATAAAAGCTTACTAAAAAGACATTTAAAAAGATTTATGTAGATCACAAAGACTACGATAAACATGTAATTTTTTTTGTTCTACAACATTTGCGAGTTGTAGTAACACTAATTCATAGGATATATACCCTCTTATGGTGTCCAGAGGATCATGACACATCCCTTTATACCCCAAAAGAAAAAAAACAAATGTTACCGAGTATAACCGATCTATTACTTTTGTGTTAACATGTTTGTCCAGTTTAATTTTTTTGAGTTAAATTAGATACACCTTATTGAATTCTATTACTTTTAATTTGTATGACATATTAGTATATTGAAACACAATTTTAAAAAATCTCAACAAGATAAATATGGTAAAACTATTTTCATACCAAAATATATTATACTGTTTTTATTTAATTAAAGTTTAAATTTCATCCAATTTGACTCGAAAAAGTCAAACTAAACAAATACTCCCTTCGTCTCTGAAAATCTTTCTCCTTTCTTTTTTCATCCGTCCCAAAAAACACTTCTTATTTCTATTAAAAATTCACTTTTACCCCTTACTTTTTCATACCCTACCTATCATATCATACCTTTTTACTAATAATCTACCCATCAAATCCTACTTTTACCCATCACATTAAAAGACATTTTTGAAAATTCAATACCAAAATACACTCCCCTTAAATCCATTCAAAATCAAAACATGCCATGTTTAAAGAGATGGAGGGAGTACAATGGAACAAAATAAAATACTCCCTCAATCTCTAAATGATTTACACACTTTACAATTTAAAAATTACGAGAACTTTTATTTATTTGTGTGTTTTCATTGACTATTACATGAAATAAAATATTCTTGTTGCATCTTGTTTTGAAAAACTTTTGATGTACTTTTTAAATGTGTAAATTTTATTTTTATTTATATACTAATCTTCAAATAAAAGAATTACTCACTCGGTCCCAAAAAAAATTGGCACACTTCACTAGTTTTTGAATACATAAGTTTTATTTTTTATTTTTCTATCAATCTTTAAATAAAATGAATTGAAAACAGAGGACGGTTCTCATGACATTGCTTAGAAATGTCATGGAATGATTCGAGGGCCGTACAATGTTCCGTTTGTAAAATTGACGATTCTACCATATCTAACCCCTGATAAACCCCCCACCCTAAATCCACCCCCTTCAATTGCATCCCCTAAGTTTAATTGACTTTGGAGTCAAAATTTTGAGTCCAAAGTCAATTAAACTTGAGGAATACAATTGAAGGTGGTGTGTAAGTGGATTCAGGGCGAGGCCGGGTGAGGGAATTTACCATGAGAATTAAGTGAGACATGAGGATTAAGTGAGGTAAGAACCATCAATTTTTATGAACGGAACATTGTACGACCCCTAGATCATTACATGACATTGTTTAGCAATCTCATTGAAACTGAAATGTTAAAAAATTCAAAAATTTAATTTATTTAGCTTAATATTACAATCTTTTGATAGAATTTAGGATGTGTATGGATAACTAGATTGGTTAATAAGACACTTGGGTTGAACCACATTAAAAGATTGAATCCAATCGATTAGTTAGTTCAACTCAAGAGCTTATATACCGATTGTTTTCCTCACACTTTTCCAATGTGGGATACTCTTTAACACTCCCTCTTAAGTAGACAACCGGATGATTTTGAACCTAACCGCTTGATCACTTGCTAATGAACTCACATTCCCTTATATTTTTTTGAGCGCCAACACCTAAAGGACCACGAGCCGCTGGGTATGAACTTCCAATCGAGCAATTGTGCTAAACGGGCCATAGGCAGTTGGGTACATACTCCATACAAATAACTGGGCTAAAGACTAACAGGCCGTTAGGAATGAACGTCTAGACTGACACCTAAACAAATGAGGTGGGCCAAAACATGCTGTGATACAATGATAGAATTTAGGATTGGTATGGACAACTTGATTGTGTAATAATACACTTGGGCTGAACCACATTAAAAGATTGAATCCAATCGATTAGTTAGTTCAACTCAAAAGCTTATATACTGATTATTTTCCTCACATCTTTTTGGGAGGAGAAAATAAAAATTTAAAATTCTACTTGGATAAAGAGTAAGTACTACGTATTCCCTCCGTATCCCAGATTTTGTCCACTTTTGGATTTTGGAACTGTTCATCTAAGCACTTTGACTCATCAAATTCTCTTAATATGTAAGCCTAAATATAGTCATGCACTCATGTGTGATCTTGCTTGATTTGTCTTAACATATAGATTATTAATATATAATTTTTGTAATTTTTTAATATACAAATTACAAAATAAAATGGATTAAAAAGTGCATTGGATGATGTGTAAAAATGAAAGTGGATCGTTCGATGTATACATTGTAAGTTCCGAGACCATGCTCACATGTTGAAGTGTCCGGTCAGCTGGGTTCTGCGTCAGGTGAACTAGTGTCTTTCAAACACATGATTGGATCTATTATTGGTTAGACATTTCGGGTCTTTTCGACAAGGATTATTTTATGGGTATTCTCACATTCTACTTCCTTTCTATGCAAGATAAACATAAACACTTGGCTTTGTTTGGATTTAAAAAGAAAATGAGAGGAAAGAAAATGAAATGAAAGAAAATGAGAGGAAAGAAATTGGAGAGAAAATGAAAATAAAATAATTATTGTTTGGATAGGTAAAAAAGAAGAGAAAATGAGAAGAGGAAAGAAAACATGATTAAGCCAAAAGACATTAATGCCCTTGATGGTGTAAATTACTTGACTGGTCAGATTATACTAGACCGGGTCTAGAATAGTTGGCTTGATTTCGTAAAGTAAAGAAGGTAAAAACACTCAGAATGACCGGTAGGACTTTAGGTGGAACACCTGTAGCCCGAATTATGTTGAAAGAGAGAATGCACGGTCACTTTTACAAGGGAGTTAAGAGAGAATGAATTCGGATCCCTTCTTCGAGGGTCACAAGTGGTATATATATTAAGCTAGGGGGGACAGGACCACGTGTGCCCACGTGGGGGCATGCAGCTGGCGTGGTGTGACCTGACTGGTTTCGTCCTTGAGCTGTCCTGTCGCCTTGTGAGGGGAATCGCTACCCTTGTCGTGGTCTGGCTTGGAAATGTTCCTTCGGCATCTCTGCAATTCCAACCACTACAGTCCAAGTCTCTCTTGGATTCTCCCTGCCGACACCCATCAATCTTGTGAAAGTACACCGGTTGGTTCTCGAAGGTTGGGTTTAACTGACTTCGGAATTGGCTCCTGATGGTAAAGTATTTTGACCGGTATACTATCCGAAGTACACCGGTCAACTTCGCGGTCAACCAGTCATCATTTTGCCGACGATCCAGATCGCTCTTTTGAGTTCGACTTCTTTGACCGGTCAACTAACCGGTCCTGACCTTTGACCGGTCATGGGTGAAATACACCCATCACTAAGCCCTCCACTTCTCGGTTATGCGATTTTGTCATAAGCGGGAAGTAAAAAATCTGAAACAGAACTTTTAAATTCGAATTTTGGCTTTTCCCGCTCAAAATCTTTGAATTCAAAATTTGAAAAGTGTCAGTTATGACACGTGCGGCCTGCTGAACAGCGTCAGACCTGCGCCCTTTCGCCTCCCCAGGCGCAATGATGGCGCCGCTTGACGCGGCGCGCCCTGGTGAGGCCACGTCGCCTCCTTCTCCTTTCCCCTCGCCTATATAAACGCCCCAACCCCATTCATTCCTTCACTTCTTCGTGCGCGTCTCTCGAGTTTCACCAGTCAAGCTCCCTCTCTCTAGCCTTCCAGCCCTCCAAGTCAAGTAAGCTTCCTTCTTTCTTCCTTAGTTTTTTCTCTCTTTTCTTTGCCCTTCTCTCCGGTCAATGTCTTCCCCTGATAGCCAAGATATTTCTGCCTCGGATGCCCGCGCATCCGAGGAACCTCTTTCCTCTTCTTCTTCGACCGGGTCGTCTTCCCCCATCCCTCAGTCCCGGTCGAATCCAAACCCTAGCGTCCCTGAACCGCAGCCGCTAAACCAGATGCCCGGTCACCTTTTCGCAGAGAGGGAGGAACCGGTTAATGACGAACCGGCCCCCTATAACCCGGAAAAAGAAACCAGGGATCAGTGGGTGGAGAGGTTGGATGCGGCCGGTTACTCTCCCCTTCCTACCTCCTTCGTTACTGACATCTACCCCAACGTTTCCAAAATAGCTTTGAATAAGGCACGTAGGAACCTCCCGGTGGGCTACGTTCTCGAATTCGACGTGAACTGGCCCAACATCATCGAACCTCACCGGGAGGATAGAATAGGTTTTCATATTGCTTCCTTAGAGAGCGGCACCATTTTTCCCCTTCGCCCCCTCTTGGTCGAGGTTTGCCAGTGCTTTAAGATCCTACCCGGTCAAATTACTCCCAATGCCCACCGGTTACTCAATTCTTTTGCCAATATCTGCACCTTCCTTCACATCGACCCCTCGCTTCGCCTCTTCCTTTACATGTTCGAGGTCCGTCCCGGTAAGCCGGGCTGCGAAGGTTTCGTCTACTTCAAAGGGCGAAACAACCGAAAATTCATTTCTGACCTCCAACAAAGCAACCGTTTGTGGAAGGAAAAATTTGTGTTCATAAAGTTTCCCCCCTCCGTCACTCCTCTGGCCGGTCTGACGTGGAGCGATAATCTTCTCAAGCACCAATTCACTGAGCCGCCCACCACTCCGGACTTGGAGGAGAGTCTAGGAAAGCTTCTGCAGGGAGACCCTAATACCGGCCAGATGTACCACTACGGGGGTTGGGTGTGGCACGTCCAACCGGGTGGCGAGGGTACCTCCCAGGCTCATGAAACGGCGGGGCGCGGGGTACCCTCCCCGGGCAACACTGCGGAGGCCGGGGACCCGAGTCACCCAGGTACACTTTCATTCCTCTACCTTCTTTCTTTTAACCTCAACGGCTTTTGTTTGAATACTTACAAGTTTTTTTGTCCGTTTCGCAGATATGAATTTCAGAGCCTACCATATGCCGAAGACTACCGGTGGTTCTTACTCTGCTGCCGGTCCGCGTACTTCAGCAGCACAACCGGTCCAGAAGGAAACTATAGAAGTTCATTCTGAAGAGGAAATTCCTGAGACCGGGGGAGTTTCTCAAACCGGGAAGGAGACGGCGAATTCCCCCCCCCCCCCAACAAAGGAAAGGGGAAAAAGAGAGTGAAGCATGCGGCCACAAACCATCCGTCGGCCAAAAAGAAAAGGGGGGAAAACATCCCGGCTGAGGAGTCACTGGAGGAGCTCTGGGTCAAACTGACCCTCAAGCTGAAAGGGGTAATCTTCGTACTAACCGGTACCGTTTCTGGCCCCTTAATCTTCGCACTAACCGGTGTTCTATTCAATATGCAGAACTTCAAAGTTCTCTTTGATTACTTTATCTGAAGGACCAGCTCGAGTAACTTTGACCGGTTGAACTCCAACTTGGTGGTCAGTTTGAAGAATGATTGACCGGCTAGACTTCTTTTTGGCTTTTGAACACCTTCGTTCTTGTTTTGAAAGTGAAGCAAAGTTTGACCGGTAGGTCCCTTCTCCATGGTCTGCCTGGTGAACTGCTTCGCCTTGTGGAACTTTCGAAGTTCCTCTGTATCAATACCCAACCGGGGTATTCTTTTTTTTAATGACCGGTAGGTTGTAGATGAAACACCTGTAACCTAGTAATTTCTTGAAGTATCCTTAACCGGTAAGAATACTGGAGAATTAACCATGTTCGAATGGTTTCGAACCCTCTCCAAGGTTCAAATGCACCCTTCTTCCAGGGCCCCCTCTTCCGGGTGATTAAGTCTTTTAATGGCCCTTTGATTTCTACCATCCCGGGAAGGCCTTAGCTCACCCCCCCGTTCAAGTCTTCCCTGAGAAGGGGGAAATAGGATGCGCCACGGTGGACGATCCCCTTCTATTTCTTTTAATGGGCATCTTTTAGTCCCCAATCAGTTTGACGGCGTTGGCTGATCCCCCAACACCGGTCAAACCTCATGGGCCCGTGTAAGTACGGTTCGAACCTTCTTCCAGGTCCAGCCCTCTTGCAGGCATACCCTCTTCCGGGCCCCTCTTCCGGGTTTTATATTTTTTCTATTATACTGAGCAAGACTGGTGTAGTAACCAGCGTGCCAGGTCCAGGCCCGTGTCTCAGTTGGCTTATCCGAGTGGATCCGATCCACCCGGGAAGCCCTCCTAGGATAGGTTCGACCTATCAATTCTGCCGCTACCATGTAGAGTATTGAATGTCATCGGTTTGATTGATAATAAAGTAGGCCTTGCCTAGTATTACAATCATTTGTAGAACTTGCGAAGATGATGGGAATTCCAGGTTCTTTCTACCGGTACACCATCTAGGGTTTCTAACCGGTAGGTTCCCGGGCGAATGATAGCTCTCACCCGGTAAGGTCCTTCCCAGTTCTTGGCCAGCTTTCCTCCGTCTCCCGGTCTACTAGCCTCCCTTCTGCGTAGGACTTCATCACCGACTTGGAAATATCGCGGCCCAACCTTGTTGTCGTGGTATTTCTTCACAACTTGCTTGTATGTGCTCATTTTAACTTCCGCGGCCATTCTTCGCTCTTCGACCAAGTTGAGTTCGGCTAAGTGATCTTCCTCATTCTGCTGGGGTTGGTAATTTGACTCCCGAAACGTTGGGAACTCGGCTTCGATGGGCAGCCTTGCTTCACACCCATAGGTTAGGGAGAATGGGGTTTCCCCATGAGCCCTCCTGGGTGTTACTCGGAATGCCCATATGATGTGCGGAAGCTCTTCTAGCCATTTGTTTCCTGCTTCTCCCAGCCGTTTCTTTAGGCCATCCACAATTGTTCGGTTGGAATTTTCCACTTGGCCATTTCCCTGGGGGTAGGCCACCGAAGAACGATTGTGCTTAATCCCAAAGCCCTCCAAGTATTCGGTGAACCTTGGATTTCGGAATTGTGGGCCGTTGTCGGTAATTAGGTTCATGGGAGCCCCAAACCTGGTGATGATGTTCTTCCAAATGAACTTCTTGCATTGTTGCGTGGTAATATTGGCCAACGCCTCGGCTTCAATCCATTTGGTGAAGTAATCGATGGCCACGATTACAAATTTCTTCCTTCCTTGGGCGATTGGGAATGCCCCAATGATATCCACCCCGAATCTAGCAAAAGGGATGACGTTTGATACGGGGTGATAGTAGGTCGCCGGCCTACCGGGGTACTTGTAGAACACTTGGCACGTTCTGCACCTCTGGACGTACCTCTCGCAATCCTGGACAATTGTTGGCCAGTAATACCCCAACAAGATGATGCGCTGGGAAAGGGTACGGGACATTTGGTGTGCCGCGCACACCCCTTCATGGACTTCTGCAATGACTCGCTCAGCTTCCCGGTTGGTTAGGCACCTCAGGAGGGGTCCCCCGAACGCCCTCTTGTACAGCTTTCCGTCAAGGACTTGGAACCGGGGTGCCCTGAGCTTCACTTTTCTTGCCCGGTCATCTTGTTCCGGCAAGGTCCCATCCATCAAGTATTCCATCAGATCATACATCCAGTTGTCATCCGCACCGACCAAGTTTGACCGGTCAGACTGGCTCCCATCTGCTATAGCGGCCACTTCCAATTTCTCGATGCTAGCGCGATCAAGAATTTCTACCCGGGCAAGTTTTGAAACATGCTCGGGAGCATACTGCGTCAATTTGGAGAGGAGGTCTGCGTCCGCATTCTCTGCCCGGGGGATTTGGGCAATCTTGAATTCCTCGAAGCCTTTCAACAAGGCAAGTACCAAGTCCTTGTACTGTGCCATTCGCCCTTCCCTGGCTTCCATGTTACCGGTCACTTGCCCAACGATCAAACTGGAATCAGATTTGATACTGACCCGGTTGATCTTCAGGGCTTGGGCAAGTCTGAGCCCTCCAGCCAGAGCTTCATATTCCGCTTCATTGTTCGTCAGCTTGAAGTTGAAAACGATTGCATGGTAGATCTTGAAACCCTTTGGGGTGGTAAACACTACACCACCCCCGTACCCCTTAGGGCCAGATGCCCCATCTACTGCCATCTCCCACCATTGTTCGGCGGGTTTGTTGACCGGTAGGTCTGGAGTTAGACCGGTCATTTCTACCAAGAAATCTGCAAGGGCCTGTCCTTTGATCGCTGACCTTGGCCGGTACTCAATGTTGAATTGAGTTAACATCATCGCCCACTTCACCATCCTCCCGGAGGATGTTGAATTTCGCAACACTGCACCCAGCGGTTGGTCAGTCAAGACTTCTACCGGGTGAGCTTGGAAGTAGGATGTTAACTTTTTTGCAGAGATGAAAAGCGCGTAGGCTGTTTTCTCCATTGCTGTGTATCTACTTTCAGCTCCGTTTAGTGCTTTGCTCACATAATAAATAGGCTTTTGTGCCCCATCATCTCTTATTAAAACAGAGCTTACAGCATTTGGGGAAATTCCCAGGTACAAATACAGAGTTTCACCCGGCTGGGGTTTAGACAATACAATATCTGACACTAGGTACTCTTTCAGCTCGTCGAATGCCCTCTGGCACTCTTCGTCCCATGCAAAAGTGTTGGCCTTCTTCAGGACTTTGAAGAAAGGCAGGGACCTCTCAGCTGACCGGGAAAGGAACCGGCTGAGTGCCGCTAGACGACCGGTCAACTTTTGAACATCCCTCACAGATGTGGGGGCCTGCATTTCAGTGATAGCCCGGATTTTTTCTGGATTGGGCTCTATTCCTCTCTTGGTCACCATGAACCCCAAGAACTTCCCGGTACGAACCGCGAAGACGCACTTCTTGGGATTCAACCGGAGGTTGTATCTCGCCATGATATCGAATATGGCGCGCATATCAGCCGGGTGATTGAGAGATACCTGGCTTTTGATTAGCATGTCGTCGACGTATGCCTCCATGGTCTTTCCCAGCAGTGGCTTGAAGAGCTTGTTCACCATGCGCTGGTAGGTTGCCCCTGAATTCTTCAAGCCAAACGCCATTACCTGGTAACAGTAGGTTCCTTCGGGTGTGAGGAATGACGTCTTCTCTTCATCCTCCTTGGCCATGTATATCTGGTAGTAGCCCTTGAAAGCATCCATGAAACTTAGGAGTTCGCACCCCGCAGTTTCGTCCACCATTTGATCTGGACTAGGGAGGGGGTATGAATCCATCAGACACACCTTGTTTAAGTCCGTGTAATCCACACACATTCTCCATGTGTCCCCCTTGGGAGCAAGAACCACATTGGCCAGCCAATCCGGGTATTTAACTTCCCGAATGTGACCAACACTAAGGAGGTCCTTCACCTCCTTCTTGACGAAGTCTCATCAGTCGCTGGCCAGGTACCTTTTCTTCTGGCGTACCGGTCGACTTCCCTCCCTTACTGCCAACCGGTGACAGATGATTGAGCGGTCTATCCCGGGCATATCTGCCACGCTCCATGCAAATATGCCCGCGTACTCTTGGAGCACCCGTGTAATCTCTGCCTTGAGATCTTCTGGGAGGTTTGCCCCAATTTTGACCATCCTCGAAGAATCACCCGGGTGGAGTTCAATCTCCACCGTCTCAGCTTCAGGCTCCAGTTTCTCCCGGGTCTCTCCCTTTGTGATCTCTTGGGAGATGACATTGACCCCCTTGGTCATCTTCTTGACTGCCCGAGCATAGCACTCCCGGGCGTTCCTCTGATCGCCCTTCACTTCCCCCACACCGCCTGGAGTGTAGAACTTCATGCACAGGTGCGGCATGGAAATCACCGCCCCAACCTTATTGATGCCCGGTCTTCCAAGGATCGCGTTGTGGACGCATTTGATATCCACAACAATGAATCGCATTCTCTTCCACACAGTCTTTTCGCCCGATCCTAGTTCGACCGGTAGAACTATGGATCCTTCAGCTTCAACGGTATCTCCCGTGAAGCCTGAGAGAGGGGTTTTGAGGGGTTCAAGTTTTGTCCGACACAACCTGAGTTTCTGGAAGGTCTCCAGGTAGAGGATGTTGACACTGCTGCCGGTGTCAACAAGTACCCGGGCGACGTCCACCCCGTTGATGTCCATGGTGATGACCAATGGATCATTGTGATCTTCACCGGTAGGAGGGAGGTCCCGGTCAGTGAAGACTATTGGCTCCCTCCTGGGATAATTACGCCTGGCCGGTTCGGCATTCACCTCACCAACGTAAATGCTGCGAACCCAGTTTTTCCGCTGCGCGGCTGAATCTCCTCCTTCGGGTCCGCCAAAGATCATCCCAATATGTTCTTTGTCAGGGGCAGGCAGTTGCTCCCTCTGCCGGTTGTTGCTCCGCCGGTCATTGTCCCGGTCATTTCCCTGGGTTGCTGGCCTTACCCATTGATGGTTCTTCTCCTGGGCTTTCTGCAGATAATCCTTGCCCAGTTCTCCGCTGTCTATCATCTGCCGGATTACCCCCTTAACACTCTTGCATTCGGAAGTGCTATGGGAATCTGACCTGTGGTACGAACAATAGGTGCCCGACCACTGACGCCCAGTTTGACCGGTAGGATTGTCCGGAGGATTGACCGGTGCTTTCCTGATCTCCTGGCATTCTTCTGAATTGACCACTCGGACTACCGGGTCATAGTGGTGCCTTGGCCGGCTGGGTATCGGCACTTCTTCCTTTTTGACCTGCACCGGCTTGGGCTTGAACCCATGCTCGGCTTCTTTCTTTGCCCGGAGTTGAGTTTCAGCCTCAGCAAACTCCCATGCAGTGTGGTAGGCCTCTTGGTACGTGGCCGGGGGTTTCCGGCAGAACTCCTTGTATAGTTCCCCGGCACGTAAGCCACTCAGGAGGAGGGACAACACTGTCTTGTCATCCATCTCCTCAACCTTGTCTACCTCCTCCTTCCACCGGGTAAGGAATTGGGTGAGGTTCTCAGATTCCCTCTGCCCGGCTGTACTAAGATAGGTGAACTTCTTCCTCTTGGTACAGTTCTCCTGGAACTTGGCCTTGAACTTCGAGGCCAAGTCGCTGAATGAGTCAATGCTTCCCGGGCGAAGCTTGTTGAACCACTCGGTGGCTCGATTCCGCAAGGTCTAGAAGAAAAGGAGGCACTTTTCTTCATCTGTGCAACCGTTCATGGTTGCACTCTGATTGAAGGAGTCCAGGTGGATTTCTGGGTCCTCCTTACCGGTGAACCTTGGGGCGTCTATCTTAACCTTTCGCGGGAAAGGTGTCAGATGGACCCTTGTAGTGAACGGAGACCCCGCTAGGGGTTTGTCCCGGTCATTCTTCTCCCCAACCTTCTTCTCCAGCCTCTCCAACTTTGCCTCCATCTGTTGGACGCGATCATTGGGGGTGGTTAACCGATTGGCCACCGGCACCCTAGGCTGGCTTTCTGCTTCTTCTTCCCGGCGAGAGGCTCTCGTCCTGGCTGGCTCCTGCCAGTTTGACCGGGAGTGTTGGGTGCGGGCAGGCTTGGCCTCCCTCATCTCACCTAACCGGGCGAACGCACTGACATGGGCCACGCTCTGCCCCAGCCTCAGCTTGGCTGATTTTCTCTGGCCCTCCTCCCTATCCCCCACCCTTTCGAAGGCGGAGTTTCGGGAGGTGGCGGGTCGGATGGTTTTTCCCTTCTTTTTCTTGTGGGTCCTTGGAATGTCCCACTCGTCGTCTCCGCTTTCAACCGAGACGCAGTGACCATCCGAAGTGATTAGCGGATTCGTACCTTGCGGGGGGCGCAATGGCCCTGCGGCGTTAAGCGCACCGGTCAAGTTGATGGGGGCCACAGCGCTGACTAGCTGCGGCTGGAAAGGTGATGGTTGCGGCACTGGCGTTTGGAAGGGAGACACCGCCATTGGAGCTTGTAGGGGCATGGTTCCCGCGCTTGGAAGAGCGAACGGGAACATACCAGGGAGGAAAGGCATCCCCCCATTCTGTTGGCACATAGCCATGTCCTGGCCAAAGCCCTGGATGGCCTGCAGGTTGGCTGGGTCATTCATGAACTGGGTCATGCTTGGTGGGAAAGTGACCCTCGGTCCAGCGGAAGGGACGGGAGCCGTGAATGGGCTGACCATGCTGGGTGTTGGAACCGAGCTTAACCCCAATGGCAAAACCGGAGCAGAAACGGTTGGCAGGGTAACAGCCATGGGGATGCTGGTACCTTCAGTGGTGGCTTGCACCTGAGCAGGGGTGGCGTTGATCTGCTGGCTCGAAGACATTTTGAGTGGTGTTTTTGTGGGTAGGTTTGTATTTAGAAGAGAGGAAACCTTAACGGTCCCACGGTCGGCGCCAAAAATGATGGTGTAAACTACTTGACCGGTCAAATTATACTAGACCGGGTCTAGAATAGTTGGCTTGATTTCGTAAAGTAAAGAAGGTAAAAACACTCAGAATGACTGGTAGGACTTTAGGTGGAACACCTGTAGCCCGAATTATGTTGAAAGAGAGAATGCACGGTCACTTTTACAAGGGAGTTAAGAGAGAATGAATTCGGATCCCTTCTTCGAGGGTCACAAGTGGTATATATACTAAGCTAGGGGGGACAGGACCACGTGTGCCCACGTGGGGGCATGCAGCTGGCGTGGTGTGACCTGACTGGTTTCGTCCTTGAGCTGTCCTGTCGCCTTGTGAGGGGAATCGCTACCCTTGTCGTGGTCTGGCTTGGAAATGTTCCTTCGGCATCTCTGCAATTCCAACCACTACAGTCCAAGTCTCTCTTGGATTCTCCCTGCCGACACCCATCAATCTTGTGAAAGTACACCGGTTGGTT